CCCCCCCCCCACATACAGTAGCTTCTAGGCTCTTCTGTTTCAAAGTCACAGGAGCCTGCTCTAGTGCTATTGTCTGGCTAACAGTAAAAGACCGCACAGTTTATCCATTAGGAGGAATAAAGCAAAATGTTGATAGTCAAGTAGTATTGTGGTATGGGTTAGAACAGCTGCTGTTGACATGTTAATAGTTCAAAAGAGCAATGACCTATTACTTTCAAGATCCAACACCGGGAACAAATTGTTTGGAAATGATTTACTGTTGCCACTATGGGGATTATCTTTGTCACTGGCAAACAAGATAAAATGACGAATGTATTCATTGCATAGTTTCTTGTGCATTTTCTTCAATCTCTTAGAGAATTGGCACAACATGAGGATATTAATACATTTAATTACTGAATAAAGGTGTGTTGTGAACACAGATTTTTATACTGGATCCTGATGTAGTAGAATAGCAAGAATCCATTTATAGTTTAAGACTGTGTGTGATTTGTATTTGGTAGCTGATAAGAAATTCAGTTTGCTCAGTCTTTGTGTTTCTTCATTTGCTTATCTTCAACATTCATGCCATTCAGCCACAAAAACATAATACTAGAAAATTATGCTTGAAGGGGAGGTACAGAGTCAACCATTTACTTTAGCCTTATATACTTTACGAATTCTGATATCCTGCTGTATAGGTTGCTTAAATGGTGAAAAACAAGTTAGCTGACGTTGTGTGTGTGTGTGTGTGTGTGTGTGTGTCAAATAGGAAAGGTGGTTGAATAAGTACTGTATGGTTTGTTTGTTTTTGGTTCTTCGGGGGCTTTTAAATTATTTTTCAGTGCTTTTCTATTAGAGTACTTTAGCAGTCTGAAAATTAGGTTTCTATTTCTTTAGGTAGAACAACCAGGTGGTTGATAGAAGACTTTTGGAGTCTCCTTCTCCTAAGCTAATAGCTTACCCTTATCAGTCGATTTCTGTTCCATGATAGAAAATCATACACTTTGATCAACTCGGCTAAGTAAGGATGGGGCAAGTTCAGAAAAGAAGACCAGAAGCACTTACAGTAAGCCCCAGGACTACTGTATTTACTCAAATATAAGATGACCTTGAATAGAAGACAACCCCACGTTTATTCTATATATGGAAAATTTATAAATTGGTTATAATTTTGCACGTATAGAATCTATATATTGGAGGGTTGTCTTGAATCCCTCTCCCCCATTTGTGCAGCAGGGAAAGCAGTGGCTGGGGAGGGTCAGGTAGTCCCATTGCTCTCTGCCCCGCCCCCTGTCACCTGCACCCACCCAGCCTCTGCCCCTCCCCCTTGCTCTCTCCAGTCTCAGCCTCTTCCCCCACTCTCCCCACTATACTGTCAAAGGCTGCTCAGGCTGCTCCATACTGGAGCACAAGACATGGCTGCTCAGGCTGCTCCATACTGGAGCACAAGACATGGAAGTCCAGTCCTTGCCTGGCCATACAGCAGTGTCAGTGCTGCTGACTAGCCAGGCAGAGGAAGGATTTTCCATGTACTCTGGGTCTGGGAGAGACCTCAGCCCAAGCCAGAGCTGAGCTGTACATGTAAAGGAGGGATTGGGGGTGTGGGAGGGAGGAAGGGGCTGGGCAGAAGCTGCATAAGAGAAGCAGGGGGGGATAGGAGGCTGTTGTCAGTCTGACTCTGGCCCTGATCCAGGCTCAGGGCCAAAGACAGCTGCAGCAGCTGCCTGCCTCTTTCCTGCCCCCCACCTCCTATGCAAATACAAGACGAGCAGCTTTTTTTCATGCTGATTGGTTGAAAAAGAAACCGTGTCTTATCCAGGTTTCGCTCGCTTTATGCTGTACATGCATTCCTGGAAAATGGCACATAACTCGAATTCACATGAAGGGAACCTACTTTACAATGTAACAAATAGGGATACGTTCCAAGACCTCAACTGTACTGACATGGTGTTGCGCCGTTCCCGGGGCAGCTGCAGCTCCAGAAACACGGGCACCAGCTGCCTTGAGTGGCGGCCACAGGTATTGCAGCCGGGTGGCTTCATGGCTTATGGCAGCTGGGGTGCTGTGCTGACGGGGCTGGGCTGCAGGGGCCAGCACTGCAGCCCAGCCCAGGCACCACCACCTGGCTCAGTGGCTCAGGGCCCGCCCCCAATATTTTTTTTCTTCCTCCACCTATGACGTCACTCCCACAATGCACCGCACAAAGCAGGCTTCCACTACACCAATTGCATAAGAGTGAATTTATTTGCATATAACAAATATTTGGTATAAAAAGGTCATCTCATAAGAGTGAATTCACATGTACAGAGCCCACGTAAAGTGAGGAAAATCTGTATTCAAGTAAATACAGTATGTTATGCTCAGTACCACGTACAGGTCAGTCGCATCATACGCACATTTAACTTACGCAAATTCAACTATACGCGGGGTGGGAAGGGGGGCGGGGCTTGAGTTTGCACGCGGCGCTGCCACTTACCTGGAGGCCCATAATGGCGGTGTCGGCCACTGCCTCCAAAACCTCCCGCTGTTGCCATGGAGCCATGCCCAGAGCTGTGTGGCTGGCCGCCGGGTGCACAGCCCTAAGCACGGCGCCACATGCAAACTCAAGCCCTGCCCCCCCTCCCACCCCGCGTATAGTCACCGATTTTTCACCTTACGCGCTGACTTCAGAACCTAACCCCCGCATAAGATTCGACTCCACTGTACTTCTCTTGCTTCTTCAAATTCCCCATTCCTTCTAGGGAAAAGGAATATCCATTGAGCTTTTTCTGTCTGCAGATAGGGGCTAAGGACTGCTAAGTTGGCACTGGGCTTATCTGGGAAACAGACCCATCATTATCGGGAGTGTGGTAAGGATGAGCCAAGAGTCCCCTATTCAGATTAATATTATGTGGTTGTTTCTGATTTCTGAGAAACCAAAGCAGATGGGAATCTCTCACCTCTCTCCTATTTACTTCAGATGATTGTGTCAATGACTAAATCAGCATACTACTAAGTGAGAGTTGCATTCTTAACCGTTGCGTTTGCAGTTCTGTCCACTTTTAACTACCAGGTAGAGAATAATATTAATTTCCAAGTTCCTAAGGTATTAAGTAGTTAATTGGAGAGCCGCAAGATAAACCTGAAATGTAAAGCATGTCTTGACAAAGGCTACACACGCTTTTCATGCACTGCAAACCTGGAACTTGCCGTTTGCAGTTTCTTGATTCATCATACCTATCTGTCCCCAAGCCAAGAGGCTTTATTGCCTTTACTGAATTTCTACCTCTGTTTAACTCTACTTTTCTTCATCAGATCCTTGATTCATCATAGGTCCTTAATGTTTTCAGATCCTTATTTTTCACCTTTGGCATGCTTATCTGTACATTAGTGTTTTTTCAGACATCCTGATGTTCATGATTTGCTGATCTGACAGCAATTTTACATCCTTTCTTACCTGGGTAGTTGGAGGATTTCATGCGCCAGTCCTGTTTGCAAACACTTATCTTGTTTGCAAAGCAACATTATCTCTATATTCTACTTGTTACCAACCAGAACAGCAGCAAGTTTATATCTGAAAGACTGATTCATCCAAGATTCCTCTTCAGTGCTGCTGTTGGAAGTAACCTTCTCTTCTCTGGATACAGAAGAAAAGGTCATCTACTCTATTCAGTCAACTAGTTCAAGGAAGAGACCAATTGCAAGAGCTAGACAAAAGGGTTGTGACTTAGTTGCCAAAAGCAGTATCAGGGACAAATAAGCACTTCTGTGCTTGTCACTTCTGACCCTATTAGATGAGTTTTGCTATTTTGAGGAGGATGGACACACAGAGTTCTGATATGTGATAACTCAGTTAATTGAAGTGTGCTGTTGTGAGAACATATCTGTAGAAAGTTGCCACAATGAGCCAGACGGCATGGTTTGCTGAAAAAATTAATAGGAGACATGATCAAGGCTAACCCAAAACTGACTATTGGAAGCCTTGAAAATGATGAGAGCCAGTCTGTGTGGGCTTCTGATACCACAAAAGACAGCGAAAGAGATGGGTTATTCTGCAGTCAATTAGCATTGTTTACATTAAGTTGTATAGAAAGTGCATAGCTTTTTCTCAGTAGTGAGGCTATGCACTTAAGTGGAGCTAGCTATAGTTGCAATTTACCCATGACCAGGTAAGTTGAAGTAAATGCCAGTGTCTTTCAGCTAGTTGGTGAAGCTACCTGCCTTAAGTAAAGGCAAAAGAGCCCAGTTTCTACACAGCTTTACAGGCAGGACTAAATTGTTTTGTTTTTTTGGGGTGGAAGTGGGGAAGGTATTGTGTATACAGATTTATATTGCAATTTTTTCCTTTGGTAAATATTCAGTGGGCAGCTTGTTTTGTTTTGTTTTTTGTTTTAACATCCTACAGCTTTGGATGAGCTAATTGATAAGAAATCAAGCAAGATGGTATTTTGCTAAGAGTGATATGGAAGACTTTTGGGATATAAATTGAAAAAACTTTGCAAATCTATGCCATATGTTAAAACTGTTCTGGGGAAATGTGAAACTGTCACATTTTACTCATTTTCTATGTAAAAGAATGACTACTTGTAGTACAAAGTTCAAGTATTTTTTATTATTATTATTTCAGGCTGGCATTCCAGATCCCCCAGATATGTCTGAAGAATTAATCCGAGTGAAAGCCAAAGAACGACACTTTCTGGAACAATTATTGGATGGTAAAAAACTGGAAAATTATAAAATTCCAGTCCCCATCAAAGCAGAGCTCAGAAAATATCAGCAGGTAACAACTTCTGCTTTAATTTTAAAGAACAAATTCTGAGGTCTGAACTTAAGTAAGAAAACATACCAACTGCCCACCTGTAAAACAGTCAGCTTATATATAGGGCCTACTCTGCCTATACCAGTGATTCTCAACTTTTTTAGAACTGCGGCACACCTTTAGTTTACACAGTTTTTGACTACAGGAAAATAACTTCTGTTATTTGACTACAGAAAGAACTCAAAAAAGACCACAAGTTAGGATTGTTATTAACACTGTGGATTCATTTTTGAAATCTCTGGATTGATCTTGTCAGTTATGTTTTCACACCTAACAGTGCCAAAGCATCCTGATTCAAAATCGGTGGTCAGTACCTACTGACTGCTTCTACATCTCCTGCAACCCAAGAAATGGCACCAGAAATAAAAAAAAGTTGTGGACCATCTGAGGCTGTCTAAAAGGTGGTAGCAAGGGGACAAAAGCAGGTCTCCCTCACTCCATACAAAGGCAGGTTTTTCAAATAGCTGCCATACCATGTATAGGCTAATAAAAATGCAGTTCCTCTGCATATCTTCAGATGCTGAAAATCCCTAAGCAAAGGACATTGCCATCCATACATCTTCCGACCCTCTTCTGCCCTCCAAGAAGTCTCTCTTTTTTTTTTTTTTTCTTGGGAGAAGGAAAAACATTGTGTTTCTTCAGTAAGGAGATGATTTATAAAGGAAACCTCTCAGTTAAAACCATCTTGACAACAAAGGGTGCAGAAAAGTGACAATTTTCACCCGATCTGGTCACAGTAAGTGGTTTATAGCTGTGACCAAACACAAGTGCACAGCTGCAGGCATCTTCAGAAATGACTGATCTGATGAAAATCTGACCCCTCATTGCATGAGAGGTCAGATTTAAGATGTTTCAAACCAGAGCATCTTCTGTTACTTCTGCCTGCCTGCCAGCCTGTCAGATTTCAGAATGGGAGGGGGAAAGGGAGCCAGAGGGAGCTTGGGTTTTTTTCAGCCCCTACTGGAGTATGGGGCAAGTGTATTGGAGTTGTGTGAAATATCTACAACTTTACCCCTCAGCTGCTGGATGGAGCTTGTGATGAAAGTAACAGGACTGGAGTAGGAAGCTAGAATCTGCATTAGTGGTGCCATACAGTAGTATGCAGTTAAGGCTGAATTTTAACTTTCATTCATTGGGGATTCAGAAATAGGATTTAAGGAGAAATTTAAAAAAATTCCTAGTGTTTGCGGATCTCGGTCATAGTTTTTCAGTTCTTGGAGCAGACAATATTGAATTGCCGTGCAGATGCAGAAGTGAGCCCTTGGATTAAAGGAGTCTCAGAAAGGAAAATTATCAGGGTATACATTCTCTAGTTGTCTTCTCTCTTGTTAATGTGTGAAGTACTGCTGCTTGGCCAATAAAGGGCTACAAAAATGCTTTTTCTCTGCAACTGCTTGGGCGCATATACACATACAAATGCTCTGGGGTGGGTTTACTCTACAGTAGACATATGTGCAGGCAAGTGTGAGCAGATTGCTGCTCATGGCAGCAGTCTGCTACCAGCCTTGCACCAGCCCCCTGCAGCAGCCAGGGAGAGCTCAAAGTGGATCCCCCTAGGTGCTGCTTGGGCTGGCAGGGAGCACAGGCCAAAAGACAACTGTCTCCTGGGTGGGGCTGAAACATTGCTTCCCTGCCCCTGGGAGCTGCCTGCTGCTAGGGTGGGCTCTGCCACCAGAGCCCAGGCAGGAACAGTGTCTCCCTGCCCAGGCATCAGGGAGCTCCCAGACCCTATTCTGCAATCACAGCGCTGGGGATGGGAGATTCTTATTTGTGGAGCTAGGGCTGAGAGAGAAGAATCTCCCAGCACCCGCTCCCCAATTGTAGTTGTGGAGTGGGGGCAGGGGCACATGTCCCTGCCTGGGCTCTGGAACCTGCTTCAGCAGCAGTAAGTTTCCAGGTGCAGGGAACAATCACTCGCCTCCTGCTGCCTAGTTGATTGGGAACACATTTGTTCCCGGTCAGCTGTCTACACCTGCACAATGATGCAGTAAGTAATCGGGAGTAAGTTTGCTACTTGTATTTACCGGTAGCAAATTTCCTCACAGTTAGAGCAACTAATTGTGCAGTAAGTGTCTGTATGTATAGATGGTGACTGCGCAGTAATTTGCTCATCTCAAGTAAAGCGTTTCATGTAGACGCATCCCTTGTGTTTGAAAAGGTTTCCTTAATGACTGCATTCCTACTGTCATCTCCCCTCCCCTCAGTCTACTCCCATAGCTGTGGAAGGGATGGACTGAAGAGAGAGAGAGAGTATGTGTGTGTGTGGGGGGGAGTCTTTTGTTTTGGTTTTGTAATTTTCAGAGAACAGGATGGGGCCTAGCTCACTTAAACTGTATGTTTTAAAAAAATATGATTGCTTTGACTTTTTGCCCTGTTTTGAGACCACTTTTTTCTTATTTCAAAGGACGGTGTGAATTGGTTGGCATTTCTCAATAAGTACAAACTTCATGGAATTCTTTGTGATGATATGGGTTTAGGGAAAACTTTGCAGTCCATTTGCATTCTTGCTGGAGATCATTGCCTCAGGTAAGATTTTTTTAAAGAAATACTGTTCTGTGGACTAATACAGATTTTTAATGTACTTTTACAGAAAAGTAATACGCTTGTGCTTTAATACCCTGAAGGGCTCAAGAATATGCAAGAACTAAACTAGTAGACAGTGTTCCTCTTCCATCCTTGGTGGTATGTCCCCCAACACTTACAGGTCACTGGGTGGATGAAGTCGGAAAATTTTGCTCCAGAGAATATCTCAATCCTTTGCACTACACTGGACCTCCCACAGAAAGAGCAAGGTAATCACAAAAGGGAAGTATTTTATGGGTAGTCTCTTTGATTATACAAAGAATTTTGAAATTCATCTTGCTGCTAAAACAAATAATTTAGCTACTGTGAGGACAGGACATTCTAGGATGTCTTATTTTATGGATAACGGTGAAGATGCATTTACTTACACTTTTCCTGCACACTATTTCTCTTCATGTCTTAAGGTTGCAACACCAGGTGAAAAGACATAATCTCATAGTGGCATCATATGATGTTGTACGAAATGATATTGATTTCTTCAGGTAAAGACTTATATTTTTTTTTCTTGCTTTTGTTTTAAAAGTAAGTAAATATCTCTACTTAAGACTTCCTTTTTATTTCCTAGAAATATTAAGTTTAACTACTGTATTCTTGATGAAGGCCATGTAATAAAAAATGGAAAAACAAAATTGTCAAAAGCAGTAAAGCAGTTAACAGCCAATTACAGGATAATTCTTTCTGGGACACCAATTCAGGTAATTATTGCCCTATTTTTGAGGGGCTGGGGGTAGAAGAAAAAGATGCAAAGGAAGATTATTTTGCAGTCATTTTGGGTGTTCTTACTTTTTGCTCCGAGAGCTGTTCCAGTTAAAGCGCCTGCAGTGTCGCATGTATTCAGTGCCCTGCTTTTCAAAACGGTAGCAGGGGTGCTTTAACTAAAGCTCATTCAGTGAGCTTTAGTTAAAGCACCCCTGCCATCACATCACTATTTTGAAGTGCATGAACTCTGAATATACGTGATGCAGAGGCTGCTGGAGTATGCTAATTAATTGAGTCTGCACACGTTGGAGCAGACATCCAGCACATGTATAGGTGCCCTTTGGTATGCTTATGCCCTGCTCAGTATATAGCTACTTGTTTCATTGCCCCTCTACACAGTCTAAGCCAGATCTCTGATGGGAGAGCAGAGAAGAGACCTGGGATGGGGAGAGGACTTAGACTATTTTTCTTAAATTGTTTGAGGGAAGGTGGATCCCCCAGTCATCCACCTTTACAGAATAAATAGAAAATTTCACTTCCAGGAACTCAGTGCACTTAACCCCAACACACATTTCCTTAGAGATTGGATATCTTCCTAATATATAAGATATTTTTCATCTGGGACATTTGCCTCATACAAGGCTGAGGCCATGAGCAGCCCCTGATTTCTCTCTTTCTGCCACCGTCCTGCAGATATAAGCATTTGGTTTAATACAAAATATGCCAGTCACAATAAGGCAAGTAAATCTGTCACTGGAGCCTGCCCCTTTTTATCCCTTTGCCCCTTTCCCACAGTTGCAGAAGCACCAAAAACTTGAAGGGTTATAAATGGTATTGAAAAAGTTTGAGTCACACTGCAGAAAACAAGGAAGTGTAATCCATAGTAATCTGGAACTGTGTATTATTTTGAAAATATTTTAACAAATGTTTCTCTTATATTCAGAACAACGTCTTAGAGTTGTGGTCATTGTTTGACTTCCTTATGCCAGGATTTTTGGGTACCGAACGCCAGTTTGCAGCTCGTTATGGCAAACCAATATTGGCAAGTAGAGATGCTCGGAGCTCCAGTCGCGAACAAGAGGCAGGTAAGAAATAAACTAATCTTTCTTATTGCCTATTTAAATTTCTATCGCTTTGGAAAATATCACAGTATATGGGTATCAGTAATGTCAGTTTTACTGTTTGTGACATTTGAACTAATCTCATAACTTGTGTTCTTTCCAAATTTGCTTCCCGTTTCTGTTAAAACTAGGAGTTCTTGCAATGGAAGCACTGCACCGTCAAGTTCTTCCATTTCTGTTGAGGAGAATGAAAGAAGATGTGCTACAGGATCTTCCACCCAAAATAATTCAGGATTATTACTGTACTCTTAGTCCTTTACAGGTAAGCATAAAAAGAGAGGACTTAAACACTCATTAGTACTAGGGATATGAAAGGTTAAACAATCAGTTAACCGATTAAGGCCAGCTTACGGGTTATTGTTTAGCTTGGGACAGGTGCAGTCTGGCAGAGAAGGGGGGAAAGGGAAGCTGCTTGGTGCCGCAGCGGGAACTAGAAGGTGGCAAAGGAGTGGGGAGGGGGACTCTCTTACCCATAGCCTAAGACTGGGGTAGGCAACCCCCAACACTCGTGCCAGAGCATGATACATAAAGGCAATTTTCTTGGCATGTATGCATCAAGGAAGGGGCTGGGGCTTCGCTGCCATGACAAGGATTGGGCCCCTTGCGGCTTACCTGCCATCTGCTGTTTTGGGCACAATGCCTTGTTACCCTTTGATTGGACTTCATTGTTAGGAGTGAGATTAATTGATCAATGAGACCATTTCAGTCGCAACTCAAAAGCTTTAATAGGATATGCTATAGCAAAGACTTATTGGTACTAATAAAGGCAATGCTTATGCAGCCTTGGATTCTGGAAGAACGAGTCTGCTGGCTAGGCCTCTCATTTCCTGGGGACTCTTGCTGAGTCTTTTTTGTTTCATTTTTTCTGCTGAGCTTCAGGAAAGGTCCAATGTGTTTCTTACCCCCAAGTCCAATATTATTTATAGGTGGTTGATTTTGACGTGCTAATATTTGACCTCTGATTGGAAAAGTTCCAGTGAAATGGAGAAATTTAAATAAAACCAGCTGGATGGAACCAGATTTTAATGGCCTGGGAAAGAGGTCAAGGGATCAACTTGGATAAGGTTCTTTATTTTTAGGTGTCTGACACCAGTCTGTTAATCATCTGGTAATCTTTACTTTAATCAAAATCATGCTGATCAATTGAAATGTATATTTTTGAGATGGCAGAAGGACAGATTTCTTATCTTCTTTCTGACTTTCCATTTGGCCTTTGGTCGTTTATTTACTAACTGTGGCCTAACAAAGCTACTTTGCTCTTTCTATCCTAAGGGGCTGCCTTTGTATATATAATATTTTGAACATGTTAGCAAAAATACATTTATTATAGCAAAATAACTATTAGTACATTAGGTCACTTTAGTTATTAATGGTTTTAGGATGCAATTGTAATACAGAGTATCTAAGATACAGGCCAGGGCAGGCAAAGTCTGGCTCATGGGTGGGATCGGGCCCACGGCTAACTCCATATCCCAGCAGCTGCTGCCTGTGTCACTGCAGCCAACTTCCGTGGGGACCCCAGGAGCAGTGGGGCCATGACAGTGCAGGACCAGAGTTTCCATGCAGATGGTCCCTGACGCATGGTTGAACAGGAAGCTTCTCGGGAGCTGGGCCTGGGATCTTGTGGCTATTAAAGCGCGAGCCGGAGTTGGGACAGAGCTGCAATCTGCTGCCTGCACACCCTGGACGGGAAGGGGGCCCAGCTCTGGATCACTCTGTCACCACTATGGAATCCCGGTCCTGGCCCCAAAGCAGCTCTCTCCCCAGCCACGTGCCCTGCCAACACTGCTTGGGCCAGTCTCCATGAAAATCCTGGCCCCTGTGCTGTCACAGGTCTGCTGCTCCTGGGGTCCGTGGAAGCTGGTCGCAGCAACGCAGACAGGGTCTGCTGACCAGATTTACCATTTTGCCCACCCCAGTGTAGGCTGCTGTGTTATCAGTTAACTATTTAATGGATATAATTAGAGGAGGTTAAACAAATAAATAATTTATTTGGTTCCTGTTCTGTACATTCATGGCTGGAAAGAAACTTGTTTACAACTCCATCTTCCTAAGACTAATTCAGAATCAATCTTGCTGTACTTGAGTGCTCAGATTTAGAAAAACTTTAAGCCTTAAAATTAAATTCATTTGGAGTGTTTCTGGCTTCACTGTTTGAGTAGTTGTACAAGCTAATTTCCTTGGCTCAAATTCCCTTTTTTCTGGCATGGGAGATATAGACAATATACATGAATTTGCAAATTAATTGAAAGTTACTTTTTCAAACTGAATGTAAAATAACTTGCTATTGATGCCACTGTGTATCCCATAAGGTAATTGTTTTCTTTTCCATTTGTTGCATCATTAGACAGTTTAGAATTAAATTCCAGTAAATTGCCCATTCATTATTTGAGTATGCATATGTATTTTAGTTGTATTTATAGCCACTTCTTTCATCTGGGGACTTGCAGGTTCAGCTTTATGAAGATTTTGCCAAGTCTCGTGCCAAATGTGATATTGATGAAACAGTTTCATCAATTTCACTGACAGAAGAAACTGAAAAGCCAAAGCTTAAAGCTACAGGGCATGTGTTTCAGGTACTGATTTCTTTTGTAGTTTGTCCTGTCTTCTTAATAATATACTTCTAGTAAATTAAATTCCAGAATTCTTTTTACTGTGGGTTCAGTTGAAAAGGGTAACTTTGTACACAAAATGTTAAGATGTAGTTAGATTTAGTTTACCCAAGTCTTGCAGCTACAGTTGTTTTAAATGAAGTAATTCTATAGCAGTGGGTCACATTGTCTAGAAGATGTTGAAGAGCTAGAATGATTTAAATGAAATGTTGATGTCTTAACGTTTTAGTGTGCAATTTCCAGTTTTTAATATTTTAACTGAGATTTCTTTTATATAGTCCATTGAATTAGCCTGTATGTATCTATTACTACATAAGATCCCAGATTTGAGCTTTATTCTAAACTGCAAATGGAGTATAAAAAATTCTCCTTTAAATTCATTCACTGCTTAAAAAAACCCCAAAAGTTGGAGGCAACACGAATTTTAGTCTTGTCAGAATTATTGTACTTGTAAAGGTCATAGGAAAAAGGTGAACAAAAGTGGATGCATCTGTGCTAGCCCACTTAAGCCCCTAGCAAGTTAATCACATCTTAAATAATAACCCAGTCACATTCAGGCAATTAATGGGACCATAAAACATGAAGCCAACCATAAAACTATTCCACAAAATATGTAAATGTGTAATGTAAAATGTGTAAATGTGGTTTCTATCGCACCTTAAACTGAGAACATGTGGCAGCATCCTTCACCATGAAACCTAATGTTGGCAACATGGTAAGGTTTGGTTGACAACTCCCCTAGCCCTGAGACTGCATTTGGAGTTTCCAGCCAGCTCTAGTCTGGTCCTGGGACTGGGACCCACAATCAGCTGACTTGTTGTGGGTCCTGGGACTGGGACCAACAGTCTCCAGCTGACTGTCAGTCCCAGGACCATACTGGAGTCTCCCCCTGGCTTCGGGGCTGGAACCCACAATCAGCTGAGATTGATAATTAACTGATTGTGGGTCCCAGCCTTGGGACCACACCGGCTCACCAGGCAGCCAGCTTTTAACTTGTTGATACAGAGAGAACCAGAAATCATGATACCAGGTTCCACCTGCCCAGGCAAGTAATGGCTCAGTTAGGATCTGATATGCAATTCCAGAATTGTGTGTCCTGTCATGCACCTGTGGCATGGAAGGAGAGTTGCTAATGTTGCATCAAGGAACAGGTCTCATCATGCCATTAATTGAACATGTGCCAGGGGCCTTAGCCAGTTTCAGTATAGAAGTTTACAAATCACTTCTCTTCACAACTAGAGTTTCAATGGACATTTATTTAATACTTCCATACATTCCTGTGAAAAATGGATAACAATATTATAGGACCATGTATAATGCTGCCTTTTTATTCAAGTGCAACATTTTGCTGGTGGCAGTAGGGACAATTTTCCTCATGAAACAGCATCTGTGCAAGACTATACACCATAATTCTCTGAAGGATCTCTCATGGCTCTTTGGACACCGGCTTGTCCCATGATTACATGAAGGCCTGGTGAAGTAGACTTCATTGTGCTATCCCTGGAAGTGGAATCATGGGCTCATCTAGGATTTTGAAAAAAAGGGTGCAGATGGTGTGGTGCATCCTCATCGCATATAACACAACACATTTTTCTCCAGTTAAAGAGAAACTAAAAGATGTACATGTTAGTACATGTTAGCTAGAGGCTCAATACTGTATTATTCAGTTTAAAATCAAAGCAAAAAATATAAGTATTGGAAGGTGTACTAATTTGCAAGATTATGTAGTAAATTAAAAAAACAACAAACTAGGCAAAAATAGTCCAAAATACTGTTTTATTAGTCCTGTAATCATAGTTAAATGTACAACTCTTACTCCGCTTCACAAAACAAAAGAGAAGCTTTTTGAGCATCCTTGACAGTGCATCCAACACTTCACTGTCAGTCACATGAGTTAATGTTCACTTGAGTTAATGTTAACACACTTGAATTAAGGTTTTTAGCTATAATTAAAAACAATCTGCAGGAATGTGAAATAGGAAAGAGATATCACCAAATACAGCTAACAGACAGCAACATTGCAGAAGAAAGGGTAACTTGATTAATAGAACATCAAAACCATTAAAAAGGAGAGAGGGTCATTAGCACCAGTGGAGTAAAGAGAGATTAGCAGAAATCAGATACATTTATAATGAGCCATTAAGTCAATAGACTCCCTCAGCGGTGTCTAAATAGAAATGCTGCTGGCTCTTTGGGGCAGTTGGTTTGAATGTGTGGGTGTAACAGGAATTAAAGGTGGGGGTGTGCAACTGCACCACCATACCCCTCCCTCCACCCCTCACCATCCCTGGATCTTTTATAAACCCAATAATCCAAGATCTCATCATAACAACCTTTTATTTATTTATTTTTAAATGTATTATACAGACATCGCTCATAAATCTTTTGTGGACAGACTTGTGAAATTTGGGCTAAATGAGCTCTGATGCTCAAGATGGGTGATTTTGTTCATTCTGGGCACATCTACATAAGAAGTTCACTGCAGTTGCCTAATTAGCTTCACAGTATGTCTTGGCATCTACACGTCTGTCTACATGACCACCGATTGGGCATCAGGAAACTAACAAACTTTGCAGTAGGCTAGTACTTATAAATATGCAGCAGCGCATGTGTAGACACTAATGGGGCAGGCTGGGGCATGAGGGTGCTCCAGTGTTGGGCTAGCTAGCCCCCTGCCAGCTGGGGTCCCAGGCGCACATGGTGCAGTTCCAGGTGCACATGTAAATGTGGCACCCAGGAGCAATACACTCCGGCCCAGTATGCACCAGAGTTTATCGCTGCACGTTAATATGCATGGGTAGATGCTCCCACTATTTGTTTGACTTAAATGCTGCTAATCCTTCCTCCTTAATTTACCTCTCAAAGGCACTGCAGTATTTGCGGAAACTCTGCAACCATCCAGCATTAGTGTTAACAACCCAGCATCCAGAATACAAGAGAATCACAGAGCAGCTTGCAGCTCTTAACACATCTCTTCGAGATATTCAGCATGCACCTAAACTGTCTGCTTTAAAACAAGTAGGTAAACTTCACCTATGTTCACACCTCAATTCATGATATTTTATGTGGTTTTGAGTGTGTTTTCTTTTGAAAAACATGCTTTTCATTTGAAATCTACTGTTTAAAAAAATGAGCAGGCCTGTGTCTGTTTGTCAGTGTTCTAGTTTTACCTTCCCATATTCCAGGTATTATCTTTCAGCTCCTGCTGTGCAAAACTTAAACACAAAGGAAGTTAAAGCCTATTGAAGTCAGTAAGCTATGTTGAATTGTGACAGGACTATGCATAGTTAGGTTTGCTGCCTCGTACATAATCAAACTGATGTCAAATAACACAGTACTAATAAACGGGGAAACTAGATAAGATTAATGGAAAAAAATAAGTTTATAGTAAGCAACGTTGTAATATGGTAAAAAGCTTTAGGCAGAACTATGACTTTTAAAACACTGTCCTTTTTTTAACATACAGCTGCCATGTAAGTGAAGTATTTAAAACTATCCTGAATCTGCTTCCTTTGAAACAAGCAGCTATGACTCTCATTTCTCAAATTTTAATTGGAGAATTTCTGCTCATTTATTTATACATGTATATACATTTAGAAATACTTTTCCCTTTTTTTAGAAAACAATTACTGTATTCCTTCAGTGTTCGTAAATTGGTAGACGAGAGGATGAGAAATTTGAAGTATTGAAACTATAATTTCAGTACTAGGAATAGTTACTGCATTATTGAAAACTCATTAAGACTTTGATCCTGTAGTGTGAACTGCGTGGGCTCAGCAGTTTGCCAAGATGGATCATGATGCAGGACTTAAGAGCTTAGTCACTGTTTTGTCAAGTGCTCTGAGGCCTATGAAGTATGAAAATTGCTTTTTCTAGTCTTTTTATATTGCTGCCTCTAAATCATGCCAGAAAACCTTTTCTACTATTTATTATTAAATCAATTCTCAATATTATACAAGAATACATACATAATTTTAAGCAAATTGTAAACCTTTTGGTAACTGTGTCATTGGTTCAGTAATATTTTTGTATGAATTGCAATTAACTGTGGAGAAGAACCAAGTGAGAAGGTAAATTTGTTGCCAAATTTTGCAAGTTGTTTATGGTTTGAAGGAATGCAGGAATGAAGGAAGCTGGAGAGAGAATCCTTGTTTGCAACGGAATTTGAATAGTTAAGGTCCCCACAAGAACACTCTCATCTGGAATACGTGTGTGTGTATAGTTTATATATTTGTTGGTAATGTAAATGTTTATACATTTATATGAGAGACTTGCTCTGTGGTAATTTCTTAAAATTTATTTTAAGCTTTTACTAGACTGTGGTTTAGGAAATGGTGGATCTTCAGAGAGTGGCACAGAAGCTGTTGTGGCCCAGCACAGAATACTTATCTTTTGTCAGCTCAAGAGCATGCTGGATATAGTAGAACATGACCTTCTCAAACCTCACTTACCCTCTGTTACATATTTGCGACTGGATGGCAGCATACCTGCTGGTCAGAGGCATTCCATTGTTTCACGGTAAGTTCTTCTCTTAAACACTGGAAAGGCAGACTAAAATAAATGCACTTTTTCTTGTTCCCTGGGAGCTCTTGTAGTTCCTAGATTTTTCTTATTTCCACATGTGGAAGTGAAACTGTTAGTTGTCATTAGATTTGCATCAAATTCAATCTGTGATTGAACACTTAAATTTAGTAGTGATACATGCTGCCTCACAAAATAAGCACCATATTTTTGGAAATAAATGCAAATATATTTTAAAAACTTGAATGCAACATGTGTCAACCCTCCCCACCCCTCCAGTTTTATAGTAGTCTGACTCAACTCTAATCCCTGTGTAGATTAGCATGCTTTCTGATATCAACCTATGGTGCTACTGTTTCTGGTGACCTTAGGCTCCTGAAAATAGCCCCTTTGTACCCATGGAGACAGCTGTGCCTACTAAAGAGAGGTGGATGAATTATTACAGGGGTTGGCAACCCGTGGCCTGGATCTGGCCCATGGTGGCATGGGGGATCGGCATCATGCAGCTTGACCTGGCCTATTTTCCCTTTCTGCCTTATGCTGCCTTTTTGATTCTTTATGCAGTGCACACCTCCCATAGCTCTCCCTCCTCCCCATAGGCATTACTTAACATTATCACCAGTTTTGGCCTTCCCTACTGCCGCAAGGGATGGGAGTCAATGATATGGGGCAGAAGCTGTCGTAGGTAGCTTGAGTGCTGCAGAGGGTGGCTGTTGGAAGCTGGATCACAAAGGGTAGCTGATCCCTGAATTATTAAGTTCCAGTCAATGATCACTAAGTATACTGTCTAGGTAATGCATATCCTGTCTGTTCTGGACTTGTCTTCCTGGCTAACACCGTGCTTTGTGTACTTTTCTTAATTGGCCCTCAATCACCCAACAGAATGCAAGTGCTAGGTGACATGTCCCACGTTATCCCATGATTTGACATATTAGCATTTTACTGTCATGGTAGTAGTATAGCAGAAGTTAAATCTTTAATTGTCTCATTTCTAGGAACCATATGCATTCAGGCACACTTTTGCCTTTACATCAACTAATTTTTAATATTGGGGTATTTTTATAAATGACTGCTTTCAGCACCAAATGTAAGAAAGCCTGATTGCCTTATTTTTTCTCTCTTTGCTGTATTCTCAATCTCTATATATTTAGTGTTTTTCATACTACATAGGAAAACTCTCTCTGAAGAAGCATTGAAAATATGACAATAAATGCTCTTATAAATCCTTGACCTTCTTATATATTTTTACATACAGATTTAATAATGACCCATCCATAGATGTTCTTTTGCTTACCACTCATGTTGGTGGACTGGGACTTAACTTAACAGGAGCTGATACAGTAGTGTTTGTGGAACATGACTGGAACCCAATGAGAGATCTCCAAGCAATGGATCGAGCACATCGTATTGGGCAGGTAAAATACCAGTTTTTAATCTTCTGTGAATTTTATCACACTTGTCTCTTCTTCCATGCAATGCTCTCATTTCACTTGATGAATAAACTAGTATGAGTAGGAAGCATTAGGGTTAGATTTTGTACATGCTTTCTGGGTTTTTATTTTGCACTGCATATTTATAAATATGGAGGGATATGGATTTGCTCAAATGGCTGCACTGAGAGAAGGAGCAGTGTATGTTAATAGCTATTGGCAGAGCTGAGAGGAAAACTATGAATTGTTTGGTGACCTCAGACCAAGTTTCTTAATTTCTCTGGTTTAGTTCTCCATTTGTAAAGCAATTTGCTATATCTCACAGAGTATATTGAGAATTAATTCATGCTTGTAAAGTTCTTTCAAGATTATCAGTTGAAAGGTTTTATGTAAATATTAGTTTTCATTATGTTTCCCGTTGGTAGCTCGGACACAAGGAAGATTCATTTATTTTACCCAGGAGGCATATGCTTATCTTGGCGATGTATCCACTAGGCCTGTGCGAGGCAGCTGGTATTTGCTTCGGGTTAGGCTGTTTTGGGGGGCGGTGATTCGATTTAGATCACTGTCCTGAATCAGTTCGGCTGAATCTGACTCAAAGATTTGGCCACCACCGAATCTCCTAATTGAACAGGCCCCATCCCTTGCCTTCTCTCCCAGCCCTGTCAATGACTGCCGGGCCCCAGCATCCTGGCACTTAAAAAACAAAACAAAACAAAGACAAACACCCCCCCCCGGGGTGCTCAGGGGGGTTGGGGCAGCAGGCAGGAGATGCGGCCTGACGGGGTCCCCCTATGGTCCTCTCCCCCCTTGTCCAGGTCCAGCTCCCTGTAGCGGTGAGCAGGGACTGCCTGAATCACCAAATCTCCTCCAAATCTTTTTCTGAATTGATTCAGAGGCTTTGGATCGATTCAGACCTTTTTATTGGTCTTCCGATTTGATTCGGAGATTTGGCCGCCAAATCAGGCCAAATTTCCTCCGAATTGAATCGCCAACCAGAGCTTTGCACAGCCCTAGTATCCACCACTCTTATTAGCTAAGGGAGGGGTGGGCAAAATGTGGCCTGCGAGGCCATTCTGTCCGGCCCACGGGGCCCCTAAAAAATTTACAAAATTCAATATTTATCTGCCCTTGGTTCCTGTCAAAAATGATGGGAACCAAGGGCAGTAGGACCCAGGGGAAGACCAGTGGGCTCCCACAACAGCAGGGCCCACCTGGCCCCACCCGCCCAACCAGAAGCCCCATGAGGCATGGGGCTTCTGGCCTGGGACCACATGGCTGACCAGCGCTGGAACCGCAGGGAAGAGGGAAAGCGGGGGAGGGCAGGGAAGGAGCCCGGGGAAAAGCCGAGTGGGGGAGTGGCCCCTCACCCGCCCCGTGCTGTAACCACTTGCAGCCTGCCTGGGGCTGCCTGTGCCTGTTCAAGACAGCCCCATGAGCTGCAGTAGGGAGCACCGGCCACGGGGTGGGTGAGGGGCTCCTTCCCGGCATGGAGGAAAGTGGCCTCTCCACTTCCCTGTGGCCAGCACCCCAAGCTGCAGCTGCTCGCAGCCCACGCGGGGCTATCTAGAGCACACACAGATAGCCCCACGCGGGCTGCAAGTGGCTGCAGCATGGGGCACCAGCCACGGAGTGGGAAGGGGCCCCATTTCCTACCCCTGTCGCTCTCAGCACCATCTTGTAACCTGGCCCTGCTGCCAGCCTGGGCCCCACGCCAGCTCCAGGTTCACCTGTCAGGGCTGCGCATGACAACAGTGGTTTGCTGCTCTGGGAAGTGTTTGCCACCGCTGCCTGTGGGCTACCCAGCGCATGAGCTCCAGGCAGGCAGCAGCATCCAACACTGCCTGGCATGGCAAGTGGGGGTGCTGCAGCTGGTGTTTCCATGCGCAGCCCTGATGGGCGAGCCCGGAGCTGGCGTGGGGGCCTGGCTGGCAGCAGGGTCAGGTTACAAGCTACTGCTGAGTGCAGGGAGAAGCAGCCCCTCACTCGCCTCATGGCCAGCCCTGCACTGCAGCTGCTTTCAGCCCATGTGGGGCTGCCTGTGCCTGCTCCAGACAGTCCTGTGTGGGCTGCAAGTGCCTGCAGCAGGGAGCGCTGGCCAGGCAAAGGGCCACTTTTCCCCACACTCAGCACCGGCTCCTTCCCTGCCGGGGAGCAGGGGGTCAGGGCTGTGCGCTGCTCCCTGCCTATACCACAGGGCTGGGGGGCACTGGGAGTGAGCAGGTGCAGGAGCACAGGGCCTGCACCAGTGTCCTGGGGCCAGTGCTGACGGGGCCAAGAGCAGGGTGGCAGGTGTGCGGGGTTCCAGCCAGCAGGCACTCTGTGGACCCAGGCCAGCTCCCCCCTCTCCCTGCTGGTGCAGCCAGCCCGGCTCCACAGACCCCTGCCAGCCTGTGCCCCGCTTTGAGCCCCACTGTGCTGGCCCTGGGACATTGGTCCCAAGATGGTGACCAGGGGGCAGGGCACCTGTCAAGGGGTAGGGCTGCCCATGTGGCCCTTGGCAGCCTGCCAAAACTGGGTAAGCGGCCCTCCACATGAAATAATTGCCCACCCCTGAACTAAGGTCTGAAATACACTCTCTATGGAGGCATTGCTCAGCAGAGGGCCCTGATCAGCCAAGCATTTAAGCAAGTGCTTTGGCTGTTTGTGAAATAGAGGCACAAAGGCCTAATTCTGGGTGGTGCTAAGTATCCACAACACTTGTTAGCTTTAATGGAAATTGCGGTTATTTTGTTACAGCTCAGGATTTGGTAGGGTGGAAATACTGTTGCTGAACCAGGATACTGCCATTTCCATCAAGGGATTTCTATGCTGAAACCTGTCAAGTATGCCTGACCCACTAGCGTGTGAGTTGGAAGAACAAGACTAGGATTTGATTTCCCAGGATCATTTTAGGTGGTTGAGAACATTGCCTCTGAGCAGGCTGATCCACTTCCCCCATATCCTTCCCTGACCTATTTACCAAAAGCTGCCTCCTACCAAATCTTCCCTCCCTGTATCCCATGTGTGGTTTATAATTAAAATATTTTCATACAGTCTATACAAACAATCTTAAATTGTCTAATGGGTGATTTCTTTTAGAAACGTGTTGTTAACGTATATCGCCTTATAACAAGAGGAACTTTAGAAGAGAAAATTATGGGTCTGCAGAAGTTCAAAATGAATATTGCAAACACTGTGATTAGCCAAGAGAATGCTAGCCTACAAAGCATGGGAACGGATCAGCTTCTTGACCTATTCACTCTTGACAAGGTAAAGAATCAGTAACACAGTTACTTACCAAAAATAGGTAGTTGATACTTGAGCAGTGTCTTGAACCTTAAAATTACTGGTCAGATGAGCATCTGAAATGGGTTAATGAACAGTAGGAAGTTTTCCAAGCAGCTGAAGTGTTCATCCTGTTGCCATGAGCCTTTGACACAGAAATCATCAGTTTAGAGATCTGCCAGGGGAGCGGGGGGTGGGGAGTAATATGATGTGTAAAGAAAAATTAGGAATAAATAAATAAGATGAATGTCATACAGAACACGTTTGGGTTTGTAATTTAGTTTAAATGTGTCTCTTCTTTCTTTGCTTACTTATGTCCTAAGGATGGGAAAACTGAAAAAGCAGACACTTCATCATCATCTGGGAAGGCGTCTATGAAATCAGTTCTTGAAAATCTTGGAGAACTTTGGGATCAGGAACAGTATGACTCTGAATACAGTCTAGAAAATTTTATGCATTCACTCAAGTAACCATTATAGTTTCAATATAACTGCTGCTAGTTCACGTTTTCCTGCT